TTATGTAAATATGAATGTTTAGGTGTTAGTAGGGTTGTTAAAAAGGTTGGTCTTCGAACAACTTGTGTTCGGTTTGTTAAGCAATTTATGTTAGAATCATTTGTTGAGTGAGCCGCACACAAATAATTTTTTTAAGCTCGAATTATATACATTAACAATTCTTTATTCGGCCGTATTTGACTCATTTTAATTTGAAATAATAAAATTATATTTATTATTTAAATAATAATTTATTCAAAAATTTATTTATGGAACACATTTCTTGTCTATTTATATATCTCATATTGAAACTTTGATACTTACATACATATTTTTCCTTGCATGAAAAGATGGATTTGACTTGTGAAAAGTGTGAGATATGTAAATACAGAAGAATTGCATGTACATAAATGCATATATATGGTTATTAATTTTTTAATCATAATAGTTATTGTGATCATGTTCTATTTATTTTATTGCATAAAATAAGTACATGTTTAAATCCAACATCCTATATATTTTTTTAATTAATTTAAACGAGCTAATTTGAGCCAAACATAAGTTGAAAACAAATGCGAACATATATAGACACACGAGCCAATTTGAAACTATATATATATAGACACACACACAGACACACATATCGTGCCGCTTGTCGTAACTCTTTGGTGGTGCAACCTAACGTAAATCCCCTATGGTCATTAGTTCAATCCTGCTTGAGTGCATCTACGTTGCAATGCGAGATCAAGTGATTAGGCACATGAGGATGACTGGGGGCTTGTATCATACTCTCCAACCATTCTTTGTCTTATATCGGATGAATCTATAATCTATGTGAGTTAGAATCATGTTAAGTTGTCCCCTTACGGCTTTTTTCTTAAGCTTCTCCCTTTTTAATGAAGTAAGTTTGGGATTGGCATGTTCTCTCATTGTTTTATTTCAAATTATTCTCTCTATTATTTTTAAATTACATTATTCTCTTAACAATGTTGTACTTACTATAACATCTTAGGCGTGCCATCTTTATTAGTCATGCCTAACGAGTGTTTTTCTGTTGAGGGACCATTAAAAAAGTACGGAGATTTACATATATATCACTCAACTACTGTGTGTTTAAAATATCAAATTATATAAATATCACTTTATCTGTGCATGAAAAAAAAAAAAAAGTGTATTTCACAGTTTAAAAATTATAATAATAATATATATATATATATATTTAATGATTTCTAATATTTGTGGGTGAGTGGAGGCTTTTAACAAAGTCTAACCATTCTTTGTAATATTTATAGTAGATTTCCCTCTCATTCTCTCTCACTCTCACTCACTCCTACTTAAGTTTCATTTCTAGGTGTAATTTGAGAAAAATTACTACGTCCGGACTCTGAATGAAGAGATTTCTTCGGAATCCAATAAATTAACTCTACGTGGAGCTGACAGAAAAAAAAATTACTCGTTTTCTTGTGATCTAACCCGATAACACATGAGAATACTTCTTCCGTGTTATTTCATGTTATTCAGATGTTATTGTAATGATATTGATGTGTTATTGTATTATTATAACACCGAGAATATTCCCAGAACACTAATACATAAATACCACAATAATAACACATGAATAATGCAGAATAATATGGGAGCAATATTCTCATGTGCTAAAACAATTTTTTTTTATTTTTCTGTCACCTCCATGTGACGCTATTTCATTAGACTCCGAATGTAATATTTATTCGTGACTTGCGAACACAACAGGATTCAACCACCTATATTTTTAAATTGCTTTTAATCATTTTTTTAATTACGTGATATAAATTCAAAGAAACACTCGATCGAATCAAAGCGATAAGGAACTATAAATTCGAAGTGTGTAAATACTAAAAATTGTTTTGTATGGCAAATATTAAATCCCAGTAAATCCTCATGAATTCTTGAATTATTTACTTATAGATTTAAATTCGCTGGCTCAAATAATATTATAATATTAATTAATGATGGAAATATAGATAAAGAATATTCCATTAATCATTAATCAGTAAATTATTAAATTAATTTAATATAATTAGTTTTATACGATTAACAAACCACAAAAAAACACATTTTGATGAGTGATTTTATTACCATTAATTATATTTACGGCTAATTTAATTTTATTAACAAATTTGTACCAAACTTGTTTTATGAAGTATTAGCATCATCATTCAAAACCCTTTAAAAATCAAATAAATGGTAATTACATAAGATAATATTGGAACAGAGTAATGATATTTAATAGGGGCATTTACCAATATAGCGCACAATTTCTATATATTTACATATCTCACATCTAAACTTACATATTTACACATAAAACTCAAATCTGTAATATTATTATAGCTTTTAAAAATAAAATATATCTTTTCCAGCATAACCAAGACCTTCATGTTTACATACATGTCACTCAAATCTTTAATATCACATGACCAATGCCCCTCATCCACTCCATTTTTATAGAGTAATGGGTTATTATCGTCTTAGTTTTGTACGAGAATTCAACATATGCACAGATGAAAGAAAATAATCAGTAGAAACAACAAAAGTTTTCAAGTGAAAACCTGGAAAATGAAAAACTGTAATGGAAAAAACAGTGGGGTTTGGCTTAGCTGAAGAAATTCATTATAAACTAAAGACTATAAGTACAGTCTTTTGTTTCAGGGGTGGGAAAGGGTCACACAGTCTCTGGTTATAACATCGGTACATGGAAGAACTTGTCGTAAGAAAAAAAACGGCAGACAATAGTGATTGGCGGCAACCGAAGAGTGGTGGTCGACGACGATCAGCAAGTGGTGATCAGCGGCGGTCGACAGTGAAGCGATGTTGAATTTCAACTCTTTTTCTCTCCTGAGAAGAGTGAAGTTCTATTTATAAAATCTTGGTTGTAACGAATGCATGAAAAAAGTATAAACCACTTTGATCAGATGGTCTAGACAAAATTCACTGGATCATATAACATTTGATGGACATTTGAGTTCTTTAATGATGTTGAAATTGAGTGATCTTAGGCTCGTTGAATTTGTTTTTCTCAATATACTTGATTCGACTATAAGCTCATCGAAATCAGTTAACAAGCTCATCAGATTCGACATTCGTTTGAATTTCCAAATATATCCTGAGAGCTTCCAAAAACAATTTCTTGATTGGGGCTTAATTTTACTCAGATTGGACCAATTTTGATGTCATTGACTTCGTCTCTTTGAGCCGATCAGTTTAACTATAAATTTGCTGAAATCGACTATGGATTGCTATTTATAAAAATTTCAACATTTCTCACTCAAAAAGACACATCAAAATCTGTATCATGCCTCAAGATTCAAGCTTATGTTGAAAATTTGTTCATGATGTATCAAAGTGAAAAATTCATTTTATTGCATTGGTTTATGCCACTATCTTGTTAATGTTAGATATGACTCATATACCATAAATGAGACAAATGTTGGAGCGGAAGCGGAGCACAGCGGAGCACACGAGCGGAGTGGAGCGGAAGGATTTGTCTAATCGGGGGAGTTTCATTATGTGGGTTAGCGGTGCGGGGGCAACACCCCGCGGTTTGGTACAGGGGTAATTTAACTAATAATATATTGTACTATGAGATTATATATATATGTCATGTTTGTAACCCTATGTGAGTTGAATTTTATATTTTGTACACTTTTCTGAATATTGAAAAGGAAGTCGCCGCTCTGCTCTCGAGGATGTAGACATCTTTGCCGAATCTCGTAAATCTCTGTGTTCTTCTGGATTTGTGTCGATTCCCGTTTTTCTTCGCCCTAAATTTCACAACAAGTGATATCAGAGTCAGGTTCTAGTGCAGAGAAGAAAAATTTTCGCGGTGCGGGAACAAAGAAGATTCTGGTCGAGGAATTCGGCTGCTAGGGCTTCGGACGGGTCAGCAAAGAAATCGCTCTTCAACGGCTGCAGTGCCAAGGGGTCTGCGAACAGAAGATTCACACGACGGTTTGCCTGTTCAGTTTGACGAAGCAGAGGAGAGGTGTTTGTGAAGGAGATTTGCGACGTTTTCCAGAGGATCGCGACAGATTCGACGAGCAGGAGAGTCGCAAGGACGAAGGATTCGTAAGACGCAGTGAACAGGGACCATTCAAGCGGCAAGTTCGCGACCAGAGTAGGTGAGCGGCAAAGGGAGCGGTGGAGGAACATAATTAGAAGGGCTGTGGGAAAGGAAATTCAACGCCGAGATATTTCAGAGATATTCCAGAACGTGGAAAAGGGGGAATCTGTGCTGCACTCAGAAAAGGAAAGCTGGAGGCTGCCCGATTAGAAGGAAATCAGTATTCGCCCTTTTGTGATATTCCAGATTCCAAGACGTGGAATTGCAGGCACAGGTTCAAGAATTGCATGCGCAGGTTCCAGAATTGCAGGAGCTTTTCTGGAAGAAAAATTTAATTAAGGAAAAATTATTTTTCTTGAAAACTTAATTAAGGAAAATTCTTTTTTTCTTTGAAAATTAAGGGATTATTTAATTTTTTTTTCTTGAAAACTTAATTAAGGAATTTTAACTAAGGGATTATTTAAAAAGACCCAACCCACATTGGTGCATAAGAAACTTCATGATATATTTCTCCTAAGAGGCTGGATATTCGTCAAGGTGGAGATTTGTTGGGTATATGCATTTCTACTAAAAGGGATGAATATTCGCTAAGGTGAAGATTTGTTATGAATGACTCATAATATCGGAATTTGGAGTCTCTTAGAATGAAGAGATGTCCCTTGAAATTGAAAAGTTGTGTCTCTTAAACTTAGTGGGTTGGGGGGATCAGCGAGAGCGCAGCGAGAGCGCAGCGAAAGCGTGATGACCCAACCCACATTGGTGCATAAGAAACTCCATGATGTATTTTCTCCTAAGGGGCTGAATGTTCGTCAAGGTGGAGATTTGTGAGGCATATGTATCTCATAAAGGGTTGGATATTCGCCAATGTGAAGATTTGTTCGTCATATGTATTTCTCCTAGGGGCTGAATATTCGCCAAGGTGGAGATTTGTTAGGTTTGACTCATATACCATAAATGAGACAGATGCTGGAGCGGAGCGGAGCTCATGAGCGAAGTGAAGTGAAAGGATCTGTCTAATCGGGGGAGTT